GCGGGTCTCGAACCCGTGGGCTCAGGCAGTCCACTCACCTCAGCCTCCCAAGGCGCGGGATTACAGGCTGAGCCACCGAGCCTGGCTGTGACCAGTGTATTGATTTGAGGGTTATAAATAAAGTTTAGCCTGCTAAATGAAGTAACAAATATAGAAGCTGAGAATAAAGAACTGTAACTGTCTATGGAGAAATTACCTAAATCCTAAGTTTCCCATAAGCATGAAGTTTGGGTTCTTAATTCCTACAGATCTAATAACACACTCTTTCCCATAATTCCATATAAAAAGAACTAGGTCACTAGGTATGGTGGTTCACACCTGTAATCCCATAATAGGAAGGCTGAAGTGTAAGTATTGCTTGAGCTCAGGAGCTCAAGACAAGCCTGGGCAACATAGTGAGACCTCATCTATACAAAAAAATTAAAAAAGAGGCCAGGCATGGTGGCACAGGTCTGTAGTCCCAGCTGCTCAGGAGGCTGAGGAGGAAGGACTGCCTGATCCCAGGAGGTCAAGGCTGCGGGGAGCCATGATTGTGCCACTGCACTTTGCCACGCACACTCCAGCCTGGGTGACAGTGAGACCTCGACTCAAAAAAATTAAGCCTTCCAGTTGACATCAGGGTGGACACACCTAATTTTCTTTTCTTCCAAGTCCCTTGCCTTTCTTTGCCCTCCTCACAGTCACAGCGATATTAACCATGACTCATTTGCTCCCCACACCCCTCCTCTTTGAAATAGACACAGGCTCCCCCTTATGTTTTGAGAGTTTGAGAAGCAACACATATTCAAGATCTGGTTTCCTAATTATTAACGTTTTATGCCATGCTTGTCATGTCCGCTTATGCATATAGGACATTCCTTAGCAGTCTACTTGGAGCAGAATAATAGGACAAACAACAACAAGCAAAGTCCTGTGATACTAGTATATATATGGTACTTCTTGGAAAGACTTGCTTGCACAAACCCACTTTGCCATGCACATTCCCCAGAGCAGAAACAAACAATCCATACAAAGGCAGCCCTGCCACACTGTCCAGGTGGCATTTTTACATCAGGGCCATCTAGTGTCTGAGTCTTTTAATTATCAGCCAGTCCTACTTAGTCAATTCACAATAAATTAGAAAAAACATAAAGGTTTGAAGTATTTAAAGCAAGCGAGAGAGAAGCCAATGGAAAAACACAGACCATTGGAAAGACTCCACACATTCAAAGGCAAGAGGAGAGGGGAATTCAGAAGGCATCAGATTGTGTGTACAGATACAGATGAGATGACCATCCAGACTTGATACCATTTCTGCCAAAGGGGGCCGAGTTGACCCCTACTAATGCCCAACAATGGAAAGCAAGATACAAAGCACTGAAGATTCTTTGAAATTCCTCCTTTGATGACTGAGTGGATGGGATGCTTAAGAATGCAGAAATAGGCCTTTATAAATATCAGATTATAAAAGATTATGAAAACACCATATGTCAAATACCATGTAAATAGCAGGAGAACTTCTGAGCCCATTTACTTAATTGTCTTTGGAGAACTCAAGACTCTTGGGGGATTTGGGGCCCTTGCTGGTGTCTAGGGAAGAATGGTGTATCAGACAGAGACCATGGCTTTCTGGATGTCAGTGATCTCCATTCTCACATGTGCAAGTGAGAGTCATTGTTGTTGGCAGACTTCCATTTTTAAAAAAATTCATTTTCTTTCATTGACAATAAAATTGTATATATTTATGATGAGCAACATGATATTTTGCTATATGTATATACTGTAGAATGGCGACATTAAGCTGGTGAACACATGTATTACCTCACACACTTTTTGTGTGTGGTGAGAACACTTAAAATATGCTCTCTTAGTGCACCAGAAGTTTAAAAGAAAGAGACACAGGAGGAAAGAGGTAAGACTAAATGGAATCAGGAATCTTCAAGTAAGGTAAACTTCTCTTGTGTTTGTAAAATGTCCAGGGTCACTGACGCTTTATGAAGTTACTATTCCAATAAAAATCGTAGAGTTGGAAAAAGAGGATTGCAGGTGAGTGAGGATAAAGGAAGGAAAATAATGTTTACTGAACACCTAACACGAACTGGATGGACCGTTGGCCCTCTGTATCCATGGGCTCTGTATCTGTGGATACAACCAACCACAGATTAAAAAATATTCAGGAAAAAACAGTCTGTACTGATCAGGTAGACTTTTTTCTTGTCATAATTCCCTAAATAAAATGGTATAACGGCTATTTTTCATAGCATTTACATTTCATTAGGTACTATAAGTAATCTAGAGATGATTGATTTAACGTATATGGAAAGATATAGCCCAGTACAGTGGCTCATGTCTATAATTACAGCATTTTGGGAGGCTAAGGCAGAAGTATTGCTTGAGCCCAGGAGTTGGAGACCAGCCTGGGCAACATTAATGAGACCCTGTCTCTAGGGAAAAAAATTAAAAATAATTTATAAATAAAAACAAAGTATATGAGAGAATGTGTGTAGGTTATATGCAAATACCATGCCCCTTTATTCTAGGGACTTGAGCATCCTGGGACTGTTATTCTTAGGAGAGTCTGGAATACCCCACAACACTGAGGGACAACTGTATATGCTGTCATTCAATTTCCACAGCTTTATGAAAAGGATTCTATTAGTCTCATGTTCCAGAAGAAATGGAAGTTGGGTTAGCAACTTGCCAGGGTCACCAGCCAACCTGAAGGAATCAAGTCTGCCTGACTCAAAGCCTTCCTCTCTCTCTCCACCACCATTTTAGGAAAAGGAGACGAAACTCAGGAAGGGCAAAAGTGAGGTAACTTTCTGTGCCAAGATCTCCTCGCCTGTAAAATGAGGATAATAATAGAACTGATCTCAGGCGTTGTTACCAGAATTCAGCGAGACAGTCTACAAAATGTAGGCATGGGGTTTCATAAAGGAGACTTATTTTTGTTCTTTTCCTTCTCATTTCATTTTATCAAATTGATTTTTTAAAAAATCTATCTACTAAGTCTAGTAGACATTTGCTAATGTACATATGCAGAAAATAAAAAGATAAGTACCCTCTAAAAAAATACCTCACTGTGTTATACTAAGGGAATTTATTGGCTATTAGGAGAGACAGTCCCTACAAGCCTTTGAAAATCTTGCTAACCAGGCAGTTATCAGAATGGGGTGGGTGATTATATGGGACTACTTTGTATATAATAAAAATTAAAAAGATTATATGATAGCATGACAGTTTTATTTTTATTTATTTGTGAGTCAGGGTCACACTCTATTATGCAGGCTGGAATGCAGTGGCACAATCATGGCTCATTTTAGCCTCAACCTTCTGGGCTCAGGTAATCCTTCCACCTCAGCCTCCTAAATAGCTGGGACTACAGGTACATGCCACCACACCTGGCTAATATTTTTATTTTTATTTTTTTTCAGAGATGAGGTCTCAGTGTTGCCCAGGCTAGTCTCAAACTCCTGGGCTCAAACAATCCTCCTGCCTCAGCCTCCCAAACTGCTGGGATTATAGACATGAGCCCAGTGCTTGTATACATTGACCTGGATCTGTATATATAATTACCTTTCTGAAAATTAACGTATACATTCCATTTCAAATAACTTCAGCCTTGACCATGAGGGAAAAAAATGTCCAAGTTGGTTGTCAGCAAGCCTTGGAATAGGCACAATCTTATCTCTACCCTTTGTCTAGATTAAAACATGTTAAAATATCTAGTTTCACTAGGATTCAGCCTAGCTTTATGTGTCTTGCTTACTGAGCTCTAGAGAGTAAAAAACTCTAGAGAGAAATGAAATCTGTGGCAGTTAAAAAGAATACACACACACACACACACACACACAATTATATATATATACATATATAATATAAAACGCCAACCACAAATGTGGCAGTTTTATGGCTTAAGCCTCAAGTGCCACATTCAATGATGAAGTTTAAATCCAAGAACAGGACAGAACAAGTTTAGTCTACTCAGCCACAGCCCATCCAAGTTGCCCCTTTGAGATAACTGAGATATCAACTGTATACTAGTCCTTAAAAAAGGTAGACAAATGCCAGAACAGATGATTCAAAGGTTAATTTCTGGAGATATGACTATTTTTTTTTAGTTGGAGTCTCACTCCATCGCCCAGGTTAGAGTGCAGTGGCACACTCACATTCACCCCAGTGTCAACCTGCTGGGCTCCAGCGATCCTTCCGCCTCAGCCTTCCAAGTAGCCAAAACTATAGGCATGTGTTACCACACCCAGCAAATTTTTGATTTATTATAGAGACAAGGTCTTGCCAAGATGTCCAGGCAGGTCTCGAACCCACGGGCTCAGGCAATCCACTCGCCTTGGCCTCGCAAAGTGCTGGGATTACAAGCTGAGTCACTGAGCCTGGGTAGATGTGACTATTAAGTGGCATCAGGAATATTGTTTTTTCTTCCCATAGGGTTTCATGCTAACAGAAAAAAATAACACAAAAACACTGCTATTGTTTTGTGTGTGGGGGGGTGCTTCTCTCCATCGATCAGATCACTGTTATTTCCAACATTATGTGCAAAGAAAACTGACAACTTACACTGTACAATGTGTGAAATCAAGAGCGCCGCGCTGGTGTCGTTACACGTCAGCCTGCCTTGTGCCAAGTCCTGCTTCACCTGCAGAGCAAACAGGTACCTGCGAAGGTCAACAGAGATGGCATCACACAAAGAGAACAGGTCAGCATGAAAGGCAGACACACTTTCAGCAACCCATTTGCACCATGAGAAACTGAAGAAAGGGATATAAAACCCAATGAGAAAGTCTGCATGTCTGTAGTGAGTGTCAGTTGCCACTCACTGCAGTGTAAATGCCTCCCCCAAAAGACAGTTATGTTAGAATCTTTTTACATAATGGATAATATGTTTCATTTTATATGGTAAGAGAGAGAGCCATAAAAATCTAAGATGATAACCTATCACCCTATATATTTTTGCAGGGTGTAGGAAACATTTAAACTTTTTTTTTTCCATAGAATCAATCTAAAATGGCTTCATGGTTCAGACAATAACAGCAGCTTATTATGGTTAGTAAGAGGTTAGCTAATGGAATCAGAGAAAGAAGGGTATCTTTTTTTGTGGTATAATAGTTCACTTAGCTACTTCCAGAAGCCTCAGTTACCAGATCTGTGAAAATTAATTTATTGTTAAATTATTTTCTTTACGTTGTAAGCAAGTCAACATTTTTGGTGTAAGAGAAGAAAAAGACATTTGTACGTGAAAGAAATTGAGAAAAAACTGTGATGTTAAAATGGATTTGAAAATAATGATATAACTCATAAATGTTTAGAAAGGTACTTAATAGTTTTGTCCGCTGCCAGGAAATGGTGTCCCCTCAGTATCAACCCTATGCACCCACAGTCTGTCCCTCATACAATTACCCACTGGAAGGACACAGAGGCAAGTCCTTGGAGAAATGGTAGATTCCGGATCTATTTGAGCAACTCCTTAGTCAAAAATTGGTAACTCAGGGCAAAGAACTGAGCATGTAATCCGCCTCTTCAGTATGAAGGGTATTTCAAGATAGTCAGATACCCCAAGTGGTTGAGGCAATGTTTTACTTTACAGGAGAATGTCAACTTATAATGTGGCAAGAATAACAGAATTTGAAAGTCCTCATCCTACAACCTCTAAAGAAATGATTGACTCCAGCAAGGATTGTCAATTGGTGAAAAATACATTTAGGAGACTGAATGTTTGCATAGGGCCAAGTAACACAACTTTACCTCACAATGGAGAGACCAGAATGTCACCACCTTAATCCAAGGAACATCTTAGCACCATTAATGAAATATAAAGCATATACCACTTATGGATATTAGTGCAAAATGCTCAGCAGTATCCGTCAAGATTTTAGAATGAATCTCCAAAGCTATGGTTTGGATGTTTGTCTCATCTGAACCTCTTGCTGAAATGTGATCCCTACTGCTGGCACAGGACTTAATGAGATTGTTTGGGTCAGAAGTAGGGAAATGCCCCCCTCGGAGGTGAGTGAGTTCTCACTCTATTAGTTCCTGTGAGAGTTGGTTGTTAACAAAAGTCCGGCACTACTCCCCAGAATCCCCATTTCCTCTCTTGCCATGTGATCTCTGTCCACCCCAGCTCCCTTTCACCTTCCACCATGACTGGAAGCAGCCTAAGGTCCTCACCAGACACAGATGCGCAATCTTCAACTTTCCAGCCATCCACAGTGAACCAAATAAATCCTTCTTCTTTATATATTACCCAACCTCAGGTATTCCTTTACAGCAACACAAAAATAAGACTAAGACGTCCAGTTTTCAGGAAAATACAGGGGATAAAGGAATACACTAAATAGTGCCACAAGGAAGTAATCATGTGAATTCAGAAGGTAGAATATTTTGTTTGGTCTAGTTGCTTCAGCAAGATGGTATCATAAAGAAAAGAAAATAAGTCATGCTACAATACAAGAGGTCCAGAGGACAGATAACCAGATGCAGTATGTAGTCTGAATGAATCTTCTTTTAGAATAAGCAGATATAAATGATAGTTGGGAGACAAATACAGAAATCTGAATATGGCCAATGCAGAAGACAAGATAAAAAGTACATATACGTTCATAGATAAAAGTCAGAAAGGATATCACATGGATGTGACAGGCAATGGGATTACAGCGTTTTCCCTAGTCTTATTCATGTGTATATTCTGACTTTCTACAATGTATATTTACTTGTAATGCAATAACAACAGGTTATTTTTATTTTTTAAAAGGGCCTTTAACAATATCAACCAGAGGTTTTTAGAAGAATTACATAAGATAGTACATTAAAAATGCAGTGATCCAAATCATTCGATAGATGTTAGCAATTTTTTTTAAAATAAAAGAATAATCCCCTTTAAGTCGTTTAGAAAGTGCCATCATTAAGAACTAAAAAAAAAAATACAGTGACAACTGTATAACCAGCAAAACACACCCAACAGATCTGCCAGTGGACACCAGCTGACCTTTCTCCAACCTCCCTGTTATTCTTGCTCTCTTTCCTCCCTCCCTCCCTCTCAAGTCAAAGGGAAGAAAAGGTGAGAAGATAAAACAATCTAAACATTAACATGTACATTCATACAGAAAGAGGTAGCACAAACAATGGTTCTGGATTAGCGGTCATTGGCTTTTGAATCCAACATTTCATAGGTCTACAGGCTTCGATTCTAATTTGTGTGGTTGGCTTTTTTAAATAAACAGGAGGGCTTTATGTTTTAAAAGCATTCCATTCTTAAATATTTTACCATTTACCAGCTCAAGCATGAGATTCTTTGTTCACAAAAAAGTGTTCAGGGACAGATCTGTGGTCAGAGCCCAACAGGCTGTGGGAACCTTTGGTGATGATCTCATGTGTACATGAGGGCCCATGTGTACATGTGGGCTACAAAACAGCATTAGGATCTGAGTGCTCACCCATGGCTTTGGAGGGCATGTGTCTTTTTTGAAGACTAAAGAAAGAACTCGTCACTCCCTGATGATGCTGATTCTTCCTGTTCCAAGGCCCATGTAACATGAGAAATAGCTTCCTGGGAACTCTGTCGACTCTTCTTACTGACATGAGCTGTAAGTTGAGCACACTGGCTGCGATGCTCATTTTAGAGGTCAGCAGCACCTTTAGTACTATAAACTGAAGCAATTTCAATTGGCCTCACAAGAGCTACAGGCTATGTTTGCTTAGCAGGCACTAAATAAAACTAAACTGGCAAACACCATGAAAACACAAAGTGCTCAAAACGGAAACCAACTCTCCTTGTCAGAAAGGTGGGCATGGGAAGGGTGGTGGTGATGGTGGCAGATGTAATCAGAAGGGCTTTATGTCTAGGGGTGGCAAGAGCTACGCACCCACCCATCTGATGCCTTGCTTTCAACATGAATATATATATTTTTTGAGTTGGGGGTCGCACTCTGTCACTCCAGCTGGAGAGCAATGGCATGATCACAGCTCACGGCAGCCTTGATTTCCTAGGTTCAAATGCTCCTTCCCCCTTAGCCTCCCAAGAAGCTGGGACTACAGGTACATGCCACTACACTCAGCTAATTTTTTTTTTTTTACATTTTGTAGAGTTGAGGTCTTGCTATGTTGCCTAGACCAGTCTTGAACTCCTGGGCTCAAGCAATCCTCCTGCCTCAGCCTCCTCAAGTGCTGGGATAAGCCACTGTACCTGACCAACAAGAATATTTTATTCCATTTGAAGGTCATAACCTTCTCTCTATCCTTACTGAATGTGGTAATTTACAATTTCCCTGCAGTCAAAGGGAACACTTCAGCAGGGGTTCAGAGTAGCACATTCTGACAGGGCCCCCTCCACTTATGAGAAGGACACAGGCAAGTAGAAATTGGATCCAGTCAAAGACAGGATGGCCAGAGAAAAGAGGAAGAACACAGGGTAGCTAAACTCAGCTCAAGAAAAGTGACTCCGAACTATGCAAAGCAATCTTTTCCAAAGTCCCCTCCCTTGCTCGCTGCTTTCAGTCAACACCTGTGAGTCAGGACTTTCCTCCTCTGGGATGCCTGGGCAATGCTGTCAATGGGACAGAGTTCCACTGACCGTGCAGCTCATTAAATAGAAAGGCATCCAGCTTCCTGTTGAACAGCGAACTGCAACCTAATCTCCTATCTATATAAGTGGGAAGCTGAAAGCTATTCCTGGAGGCCCAAAGAATTAACCACAGATCTGGAGTAACCCGTACCCTGCACAAATGCCGGCTAGCTCCTCTGTCCTGCTCATGTGTACGTATGTCCCTCCCACAATGCATGGCGGGCACAGAGCTTCTCCCAATACCCCTCACTCACCATCTGCCAAAGAAAAGTGCCTAACATTCAACAGTTCGCCCCTTTCTGCTCATATATAGGAGTTTGAGAGTGTGGGGACCACCACCAGGTGGACCTGCAAGGTTCCCTGTACTTGGTGCCAAAGTGGCTAACGATGCAGAGCTGATAAATACAGTAGGAATCTCAGATCAATTTTATTCAACACTGAGCCAAAAGAATTGTCTCCCTGGAAAAGAGTTCCAAAATGTCAGTTCACACTGGGAGCCAGAAAACTAAACAACAAAACCCTGCTCCCTCCAGCTGGGTTCGTGTAACTTGAGGAATGTATCAGCACGGACAGAGAAGCTGGCAGCGTACCAGGCACATTCGGCTTGATGGTAACAAGCCGTACGGAGTTTTATGACAAGGACCGGGATGGCAGACAACTGCAAACCTCTACAGGCAATGAGTCACAAAAACTGAAAAGGTGCGACATTATTTGCAAAACATGAAGGAAAAAAAAACAAAACAAAACGATTTATGCCTCCGACTCCCTACAGGGAAAGAGGCCCAGTATATGGCGAAACAAGCGTATAACCGACCCATCTGTAGCTGACTCGTCCTTGGATTTATTTCAACATGCTGAGCTCAGAGCAATGCGCATTCCAATGACGGGAAAACTGACCCCAGAAACCTAAAGACAGTAGTCCCAATAAAGCCATCCCGCAAAGATTCCCCTGCCGTTGGCCCCCCAGTCCTGTGCAATGTGGTTTAGCATCTCAGGCCATCCCTCCTCTGCGTTATGTGGTCTATTAAACTGCATGTAGGTCCCAGAAGGTTGTCGCCTTTTGTCAGTTTCTGGCTGTCTGCAACCTTCTTCACGGATTTGAGGATTGTAAGTGGAGGCAGACAACTGATGGCAACTCATTTGGAAAGCACAAAGCAGGGGGAAGTCTTTATTGTCCCCTCTTCCTGGAACTCCATGCCTGAGGATCCGATGGCCTTCCTGCCATGGCCAGGTGATGTCTGTTATTTATTTATTTATTTTTTGAGACAAGGTCTCATTCTGTTGCTCAGACTAAAGTGCAGTGGCACAATCACGATTCACTACAGCCTCGACCTCCTGGGCTCCAGTGATCCTCCCACCTCAGCCTCCAGAGTAGCTAGGACTATAGGTGTGCGCCATCATACCCAGCTAATTTTCTTATTTTTTGTAGAGCTGGGGGGTCTCACTATGTTGCCGAGGCTGGTCTTGAACTCCTGGCCTCAAGTGATCCTCTCACATCAGCCTCCCAAAGTGCTGGGATTATAGGCATGAGCCACTACACCGGCTGTGACATCTAACAGATATCTCACTTGGAAGCTGCCCAGAACCACCCCAACTCTCTATCTCTCCCCAATCCTCCACTTCCTTCCTTCCTTTTCTCATTTTGGTAATCACCAGTTGCGCAAGTCAAAAATGTAAGCATCGTCTCAACTTTCCTCAGACTTCATTTCCAACCCATTTCCAAGACAGAGGAATCCTGCTCCTGGTACATATTCCAAACTCAGTCACTTTCTCCGCTGCCATTGCTACCGCATTCTTTGCCGCCATCATCTTGGCCTGGACTACCACACCTGCTTCCTCAATGGATGCCCTGTGAATCTCCTCCTCCTCCCAGCATCCACAGGGCAGCTAGTCTTTCAACCCCATGTACCGTCGAGTCTGTCTCCCCCTCACTACATTGCCCTCAGCACTCTTGCCATGCTGGCCCTCCTTTAAGTATTTGAATGTGTGGAGCTTATCCCTGCCTTGGGTATCATACTGATGGCTCCATCTCTCTGGAAAGCTCTTCCTCAGAAAACGACTGTCAGATCCGCTTTACTCCCTCAGGAGGCGTTCCAGACCCACATCTGGTCATCACCCGATCATTTCTTGTCATTCTGTCCTTCCTCAGTTACCTAAAAAGCTCTTACCACTATCTGATAATTCTCTTGTGTAATAATCTTGTCTGTTTCCATGAGAGTCGAGACTTGTCTTTTCACCACTATATCCCCAGTCCTAGAACAACACTTACATACCTTGTACACTTAATCAATATTGCTGATTAAGTGAATGTCATCATCCCTTTGATATGTGATGGTCAATGACCCAAGGTACTGTGCTGTGTACCAAGAGGGATGAGAAAGGATATGGCAGCCTTAGCCTCCACTTGAAAGGCACACATAACAAAAATTGGGCTGGCCAGACGAATGTACTCTGAAGGGCACTCTTGAAAGAGAGGCATTTTATCTTTACGTGTTCCTTAGAGCTCTGCTTTCTTTTGGTATGCCGTCTGTCATGGCTCAAGCTATAAATGAGCAGTGGGGATGGAGAGGATGATGGCAGTGATGGTGGTGGTGCTGGTGATGGTGGTGATAACGGTGATGAAGACTCTGACAACGATGACGGTGATGATAATGGCAGTGATGACAGTGAGGATGATGACAATGATGATGGTGGTGGTGATGACAGCTGCTATGTACGGTGTCCCGACTGGATCCCAGTCACTCTGTACATAATAGTGCTTCCCCTCAAAACGCGTCTAACCAAGCAAGCATTTTAGCAAGCATGGTTAGAGGGGAATTAACAGGAGCACAGAAGGAAGAAGTAACCTGCCAGCCATGCAGCTGTCAGGTGATGGGACTGATGGCCACAGCCAAGCCCGGCCCACCTTGCATACTTCCTATACTTGGTCACCTTTTCAAAGAAAATGATCTACAGTTCATATCAAATCCACCCATCCATGGTAGCATCAAAGATAAATGCTGAGTTAACATGTTGTTTTCTCACTTCCCAAAATTGTCTCATGAAGTGATAGCTACAAGATGGAAAATATGACATTAACAGGTTATAAGGTCCAAGTTATGTCATATCACAGCTTCACAGAAACCAGGCTTTAAGGAAAACGTGGCACTTTTCTTTCTCCCCATTTTTGTAAGGAGAGCTGGGAGAAACAGGCATTAAACTGTTAAGCACAGAACAGATGCTGGTCAAGTAAATATTATGAAAATGTTGATGCAATCAATGTAGAACATTATCTCTTTTTCTCTGCACCGTGTAGAACAGCCAGTTTCCAAACCACTAACCTTGTGAGTTCTTCTTGGAGTTGTGTATGGTCAGGGGGAAAGAATTTCACCACAAACTTGACAACAACATGCTTTGGCCCTAAAGAAAGGAGAGAAAAAAAGCAGTGGAGCTTTTATTGATTTACGTTTCAAATGCCGCTAAAGAAAATGACTTTACAGGGTATATTATATACCAAATAATGCACCTCATTTCAAGCTCCCAAGAGCACATCTGCCAACCTCCCAGTCACTCAATAACTGGTCAAGTTCAACTACTAATTCATACTTCCATATTGTGGGGAAACATATTAATGCTTTTAAAAAATACTATAACAGAGGCATTACATGGAGTTATTAAAATTTTTTTCTGGGGACTTAAATTATCCCCAGATTGTTTTAAAAAAGTCATTTATCTTTAAAAATGTATCTACTTGGCTGCTTTTATACAAATATGGGCTTTAGATAATTTAAGGAGAAGATAAATCAATGTAAACCAGTTATACAATTTATTATATTTAACTGTGTATAAGGTATCATTGCTAATGTGTTTATCTAGTATGTTCCTAGCACCTGGTTGCTCTCCTGAACTTGGAGAGAAAATATAAACAGGACATGGTCCTGTCTTTATACGTGTCTTATAAACCATCATACCAACAAGTTAAGACAACATCAGGAAGCAGATGGATGCCGGGGGGAGGGAAAGACTATGAACAATATAAATAACTATTCTTTTATACTCAAAACATAATATATTATAAAATAATAATCTGAGATCTAGGTCAGAGTTTTTTGTTTTGATGTGCAAGTTAAAACAAAAGAGTTGTCTTATTATACACAAGGAATATTATGCAGCCATAAATAAGGACAAACATATGGACTTTGCAGCAACTTGGATGGATTTAGAGTCAATCATACTCAGTGACCTATCACAGAAACAAAGAACAGAGTACCATATGTTCTCACTCATAAGCAGAACTTGAACAATTCTCATAATACTATAAGAAAGGGATTGGCAGTAGTGGGATACTGCCAGGGGAGAGGGTGGGATTGGCAGTTAAAGGAAACTGCTAGGGGAGGGAGGGGCATACCTCATCAACAAGGGTACCTGCATAATCAACGTTTGTATACCTAACCCTGAATTGTACCCCACATCTTTATAATAAAAAAAAAGAGCAGTCTTACAAGGTCTGTCATTTGAAATGACAGCAAGGAGTTTACATTCCACAAAATATAAGGCAGCATTATAAAATCCAAATGTTAACAGTAGTATTATAAAAGCAGAAAATATCTTTATTCTACTTTTCATGACCACATACAAAAGGTAATGTTTGTATTTTAATTTCTGCGATCGATCATACATTCAAGTTTAGAAAAAACAAAGCTGAGGCCAGACGTGGTGGCTCGTACCTGTAATCCCAGCACTTTGGGAGGTGGTAGCAAGAGAACTGCCTCAGTCCAAGGGTTCGAGACCAGCCTAGGTAATTTTGTGAGACTTCATCTCTACGATAAAATTTTTTTTAAAAGTGAGCTGGGCCAGGCTCGGTGCTCAGCCTGCAATCCCGCGCCTTTGGGAGGCTGAGGTGAGTGGATTGCCTGAGCCTGAGGGTTCGAGAC